TCCAGGGCACATATGAAGTTCAATCACAGGGCTCACCACGAGGCCAACCCCTTCCTTTTCAAATAGCCTGTCACTAAAACATTGAGTGCATCAATTTGATGTGACCTCACAATTTATGAAAGTTAGGTCCAAAAGCAAAGGCTTATGGGGGGAAATGAGTAAAATTAGTGCATACAGTGGATTGAGTGCAGTATTTTAAGGAGTAGTAAGGATTGTGGCAAAATACTGCAGAGGCGAATGCTGCCTGAAGGGGGCAGCAATGACTCAGCTCCAGCCAAGTATGGACAGATGGAATGTGGTTGTAGGACTGAGGGAGCTGACTTTTTCAAAGAAATGCAAGAAACCTTGGGCCAAACAATGTACCTCCATGAGTATAGTTGGCCTGTGCAGCTGTTCTTACAACCTCTTCCCAGCCAGAGTTGCCAAATTGGGACAGATTAACAGCAAGCAGATGACTCGTTCATTCTACTATACCAAAGGGGGAACCATTCTCCATAGATCCCAGTTAGGTCAGCTCCTCAAGTTGGAAATGTCATCCTTCTTCCTCTCCAGCCTTCCCTTAGCTGTTTCTCTCAGCAGAAAAAGATGGCTTTCCTTCCTATCCCTAGGAGACAGCCACCACCAAGTGACTGCTGAAGGCACGAGGGGTTTTGCAGCCCAGCCAGCTACTTTGGCTGCAATGAGACGCGCTGCAGGGAATTGTACTGGCAGCGTCCCTCAGAAGAGCCAGATTCTTTCGAGCATGTGGACACCTTGCTGACAGCTAAATGGAAACAATGCCCAAACCACTGGTCACTTGATTTGATTCTGCCCAACTGATTATTGTAATTGGATGACAGATAGATATTTCTGTCTCCTTTTCAACTGGTGTTGGAGGGTGGAGCTTCTGGCTCATGACTCACTTTTCTGGGTAGTTACCTAAAAGGGAAGATTATCTCCCTTCACGGGCAGAACTGTTCCTGCTTCTTGTCTGCCTAAAGAATAAAACCAGGTCCAACCAAAGTCAAATGCCAGGAAATCTCAGAACTTCCTCACATTCCACACTGCATTGTCTACAAAGGTCTTTGAAATTTTCCTTGCTGTATTACTCTGAGGGGATTCAGGGGTGAAGAATACAATAGAAGAGAACCAATTACAACAGGGGAAAGGGAACAAAGAAAGAAGGAAAGAAGCCAGTGAGAAAGGACAGTACTTCTCACTTGGGGAAGCAGGCATCAAATATTCTGGGGTAAGGGGAATAGTTTTGTTTTCACGCAGCTGCATACCCTGAAGTTGTTTGAAACATGAGCTGTAAATTCAGAATTTTGTAATGCTGTGGATGGAGCCCTCTTCTGGAGAAAATTTTCAACAGGTATTAAAACAAGATCAAAACATATAAGATGAAAACACACACACACACACACACACACATACACATAACACAAGTAGAAATGCTTTGGACTATTCAGATGACAGGATTGTCATCCAAGAGTGAATTGAACCCCTACTTTGCCTTCTCTTTACCTTCCCCAAATAGAAATTACTTGGACACCCCAAGCAACTGTATGTGCAGAAGGAAAGAAAGAACCTAGCTATCCTTTTTCCTTTCAAAAGAACTTTAGGATGAGGCTCAATTTAAACATCCAAATGCTGGTATTTTCACGTAATGCAGTTACTGGGTATGTTCATTTGTTGGGAAATTTCACTGTAACTCACAGAGCATGCTTCTAGAAGGGAACAGATTTTACTTAACCCAAGGGCCAAAGATAGGAAACGGAAGATGGGAGGGAGGAAGAGGAGGAGAGATCACCTCAAAGGACTTTGGAGGCTTGCAGCATGCACTATGGAATTATACGAATCCAGATCACATATTCAGCTCTGGAGTTTTCAAAATCTCTTTTGGAAATTGAAAACAACATCCAGCTATGTGAACTCTACAACTTAGATCACTTTTGCCATTTGCATCTTTTCCCTCAGTGCTCTTGAAATCTAATAGACGACCACGTATTAAGCCATAGGATGGGGGCGCTCTCTAAAACGGAGTCATTTCCTCTCCTCAAAAAGGTTCTGCACAGAAACAGTGCTGTAAAGCATAACATACGCACTTGCAGCCACCCCGAAAGCCGCAGATTTCCATTGAAAATCCTGAAAATCAAGATTCTTACTCCAAGGGAGAACTCCCCACTTTAAATCAAAATCTCAGAATTCCGTGGAGCATTGTTAGGCACTCCCAACTGATTGCTCTCCAAACCTGAGCCACTCCCTAAAATCCTAATTCTTGGGGGATTACTCATGCATTGTTGAAACTTTGGAATAGCTGCAAGGGCTACCCAATGGGGCTGGGAGGAATCCTATTTACAGTGGAATTTCTAGCTCATGCCTCTCTTAATTTGGGTCACATTCATTACTGTAGCCATATTCCAGGGGCCACTTCTGGTCTGGTCGTTCCCTAAACGCTCCAGGAGACAGGAAAAGTGACTGTTGTCTAATCTTGCCAGTTTCCAGCCATTGTTGCTTAGAATTCCTCATCTCCTACCCAAATGCCAAAAACACTGGCAACTCTGCCAATAAGCTTACAGGACTCATGGCTTCCAAAGCCTGACCCAGGGCCTTACAACTGCAGTGGAAAAACACACATAGGCTTGCCCGTGCACCGCCAGGGCAGAGTGACTAATTTGTTTTATTACATTGTTTTTCCCTTTCTTCTGTTTCCTCTGCCTCGGGAAAGTTTCGTTTTTCTGGTTGACTCAAAGGCTCCGAGACTGTCCCCACTTTTCTCTATGGTAGACAGAGCTGTGCACTTGAACCTCCTGCTGGTGATTGTACCCAGATGATTTCCTAGAGAGGTGCTATTGCTACTAGGATATCAATTACTGTCCTAATGTACACATTGGCTCTGATCATGTATAACCATCGAAGAGAGAAATAAACGCCTCAGGGCAGGCGATTCAACTCCTGTGCTGAAACAACTGATGAGCCTTCAGAAGCCACTTGTGCCAGCCAGACCCTGGGGCGGGAGATACACAGATGCCTTGAGAAATGTACCATGCTCAAAAGCCCTAGTGTGTGAGAATCTCAACCACTATCACTCCCTCTGACTTGTTCTAAAGAAGGCATAACTTTGAGCAAGCCTCGGAATGTGAACATCTGTAGAAACACACCAGATAAAGTCCTGGGAAGGCACTATTTTGTGCCCCAGACAACTGCCCCACAGTGGCAGGCCTGCACAAATTCATTACCCGGGGCGTCCTGTTGAATGCAACCCTACCCAGCAGTCCCATGGAGGCAGTAGATTATTTCACAGTAGAGAACCTGGAAGCTATGAGAGATGGAGAGCTTGCCCAAGGTGGCACCACTAGCAGAGGGCAGGAAGGATCTGTCAGAACCCTTCCGTGCGGGGCACGCTCTGAGCCAGCTCACTACAATAACATATATGTACAACATACAGCTATGGGGACATTTGCAGCCTAGGAAGTCTGGAAAGCTGAGGCAGGACTGAAGGCCACAAGGACCTCAAGAGAACCCTCCAGCAAAGCCGTGGTAGGATAGAGGCGACAACTGAGTAGTCCTGAGTGGAGCAATGTATCCAGGGAAGAATCAGCAACCAGGCACCTTACTCTGCCCCCTGGCACTGCCATCCACAAATCCCTTCTTGGAGTCATTTCCATGGCCACTGCATTCCTGGGATGCTGGTCCATTTCCAGACTAACCCCAACACTGACCCAGTAGTAGTGTCCCCTTATAAGGCCGCACCGATCTCCTCATGCCTGCCTGGGACCCTGCCTTCCCTCCCCTCCTCATCCCAAGCAAACACATGTGCCTCTTCCTCTGGCACCCAGGCAGGAGTCCTGGGTCACAACTCAGCCCCATTCCAAGCACCCCGCGGCACTCCCTGTCCCTTTTCCTCCTCCCTGCCTGGCCCTGCCTTTTTTTCGCCCACCCACTTGTAGGCTGCCAGCCCACTCTGCGTCCCAGAGGATGCCAGGGAGGCCTGCGAGGGACTAGGTCAGGGTGTTCTCAGAACCACAGGCCCTGAGCAGGGTTGGGCGCTCCCCTCAGCCGCCAGCACCTCAGGCCTGGCCTCTGGTGCTGCTTCCCTGCCCAGAAACTTCCTGAGATCCCCCAAAGGCAGAGCGGCTGCAGACCGCCCGCCTCCCGCGCCTTCTCCGGGTGCCTCTCAGCCCTGCCTGTCAGCCGCAGCGCTTGGAGGGTTAACCAGGCAGCTGCAGCCCGGGTGGGCAAGGCTTGAACTTTTCTCTGCGCTCCGCACCCGCCCGCCCCGAGAAGGCAATGCAGCCTGGGCTCGGGCAGGAGCTCCAGCTGGGTGGACAATGGGCCGGGGGGTGGGAGGGTGGCGCTGGGGCCTTAGCCCTGGCGGGGACTGCGCTCTGGCCCTTCCGGCGAGGGCTCCGGGCACGGGGAGAGGACCCCGGCGGGCGCGGCCGGCGCCGGCGCCTTTGAGCGACAGCAGCAGCCGGGCTGCGGCGCTTGGCTGACCAGAGGCTCCCTCCAGCTCGCCGCGGGGCTGGCGAGGGGGCGCGCGCCCCGGGAAGTGTGCGATGCCAGCTCGGCCTCTCCAAGCCGGCAGCCCGCGATCCCGACCGGAGCAGCCCTTCCGCCCCTGGGCGCTGGGCTAGGGGAAGCAGGACTCCTTGGAGTGGCCTCTGACTGAGTCGAGCCAATGCAGGAACCTCCGGAGGAGGCGAACCAAAGTTACCCTACTTGATATAGGCGAGGATGTGGCCCCCGCTTGTCAAAAACAGGGGGCTCGGGAGCTCTCTCTTTCCCCCACAGCGTACACACACACAAACACACACACACACACACACACACACACCCAAGTGGGAAGCCAGGGACCCTCGGATCCACGGGGCCGCAGCGACCTCCCTCCGGAAGCCGGGTCTGTCTCCACTGCCGCGCCCGGAGCCCCGACCCCTCCGAACGCCCCTCGCCTTAGCCGCGCTGCCGATCGGAACGCAGAAGCCGGGTGCGGAGCGCGCCCGGCGGCTCCTCTGCCTTACCTGGGACAGCAGAACGCACAGGACGAGCGGAGTTCTCGGCTGCATTTTGCCCGACTAGAAGCGCCCGGCGGCGTTTTCATTCACGCGCGCGGCTGCACTGAGCATATTTTCCGTGGGAGCCAGGCTCTGAGGAGAGGCTCTGCCTCGCCAGCCAGCCAACTTCCCAAATAGATCAGCGGCAGCATCACGAAAGCATTGGGTAGAGGCTGATGACCAGGACCAATGGCTTTACAAGACGGATTCCTTCATAGAGCTCCCTCGTTTTGCATGGCAGATACGGGGAGCACCGCGCCAAGAGTGAGCCCCGCCGAGGAGGCAGAGCGTTAGCTTTTTTGGACTGCTGGGGCCCAGTCTCACAAATCACGCTGGGCAATGCCAGCGACTCCACTTTCAAGAGAACAGAATTGTATGGAATTGCACCGGGGACCAGCAGCCACTTGCAGCCTAGTGCAAAGAGATTCTCTTTATTAAAATGTTAATAAGATCCACTTTATTTTCAATAAATCAAATAAAATGACCCCAGCAGTTCCAGCTCTTTCTACGCCGGGAAAGCCTTGGCAGTGGACTCCTTTTTCCTTCTTCTCTACCCCACCCCCCAACGTGGCCCAAGTCATGAGGGTGTTTGGTGTTTCTCTGTCATCTCACAAATCACAAAGAGGACAGATCAATTCCAGCTTGCAGGGAAAATCCATCAAAGGGCAATAGATTTTATTAACTGCTCAAGTGAGAGTCTGACTGGCCACCTACTCCTCAAATGTACAGCGGCCCCGAGGCTGGAGCCATGACCTGAGGAGCAAAAAAACAAATGTTTTTTCTTATATCGATGTGACCTTTCACAAACTCTGAGTTACCCCCATGGTCTCGGAACAACAGTGGCTACTACTCAAGGAATTGTATGAGCGGCGTGCTTTGGGAATGAGGGTGAGAGGGGTATGGTTTCCCAGGTAGTAATCTAAGAATGAATGATAAAGATCTGACCATTTTCCTGCAGCTTCCTTCTAAAAAGGGCTTAAGGTATTTTACAACAAAAGACATTTGTATAGCCAAAAAGGAAAATCTGGACCAGAGGAAAAGTTCAGGAAGCTGAAGTATTAACTCCAAACTGCAAATGATTTGCTCTTTTTGGGATATGAGCTTCCTGGTGGCCAAAGCAATATACGAAATAGGTCAGTTATATAGCTCTTGTTATAGAAATATGTGTACAATGTCATCCAACATAATTCCTCCAGCAATAAATACTGGAATAAATGTATTATGTGACACACGTTACAACAGAACATTGAACAATGCATCATGTTGAGATCCAGGGGATTGGAGCTGTATGCCAAGATCTGGCACCAGGCCTGGAACAGGGAGACAGTGATTAGTGTGTGTTAAGGGAATAGATGGCGAGACTTAATCAAGAAGTAGCAGAAGGCAAGACAGGCAAAGAGTCTAGAGCCACCCTGCCAAAGCTCAACCCACAGTGTTGCAATGTACTAGTAAGTTACTCAAACTCTCTGTGCCTCTATGTGTCCATTGGTGAAATGAAAATACGAACTGGACTGGACTCAACTCACAAGTTTGTGGTGACCAAAGAACCCACTCAAAAAATGTAAACTCACTTATTTTTTAACATTCTTTCATTGTTTGCTATTTGGTCACAAAGTCACCTCACTGGGGCCCCCAGTCTTGGACAAAGATGCAATGCTCTCTGATGAGTGTGGCTGCTTTAGCCAGCATGGAGATAACAGACAGCAGCGCTGGCAAAACAACACCCAGACTGTGAAAGGCGGGCATCGCTGCTGCCTCTAGTCTTTTCCTTGCAAAAAAGTAGGGCCATCTGCCCTGAGCCTCTAAAAAATACAGTCTTTGACAGATGATGTGCCAGATGATGGTAGCTTGGAACCATGTGCTTGGATACCCGTGTTGCCCATTGATAAGAGGGAAGCAGGATACTTGGAGGCAAATAGGCTTTTGATCAAGCTATCCCCAAATATCCTTATTTTTTTTCTATTCTAGTGAAGGAGTCATCTTTGCAGTCAGGGGACAGGTGAACTGATGCTGCGGATCAGCAGACACAAAGATGGGCGAGAGAGCAGAGGGACCACTCAGGAGGTGATCGACCACAATGCCGGTCTGGCCAAACTTCACAAGCAGTCAAGGGAAGTGCTTCACAGAGTAGGGAGCATCCATGACCACACTCAGAGGTCAGTGCGGGACCATGGACTGACAATTCTGCTGGCCCTTGCCATGGTCTCCCATCCCGTTATCTTTAACCAAACTTGTACAGTTCTCCCTTCTAGGAAGATGTTGGGGTTATAACTGCCCACCCCCTTATGTTTGGAGTGGGACCCTATGACTAAGAGCCAGACCCTAAGAGCCAGACCCTAAGAGCCAGAGAGATGTAAGCAAAGTGACACATTTCTCTTCAAGGCCAGAGCATTCCACTGCCAGTGTGAGACAAGCTGGTTTCCCTGGCAATAGGTACCAAGATGCAGATTTGTGCAGGTAGCTTATTGGGTGTGGGGGGCATGTTCTCAGGAGCTACATTTGCCAGAGAGCAGGGGAGGCTCCCTGGCAGAGGGAGAGGAGGAGATACACCAGGGCCAGGAGAGGCTCAGCCACCTCCAGGAGCAGCAGGAGTCACCAAGGATTCACTTCCCGAAGGTCCTGATCTAGTGGCAGGTAAAGAAGCACAAGCCAAGGACATCTGATTCTGAGTGGACATGCCAAGGCTAGTCCTACCCTTCCTGGCTTCATCCACAGAGACAAAGTTCTCAGGGCTGGAAGGAGTTGATGTCAGGGATCTGTTTAAGATTGGAGGCTCACCTCTGTAGGCCCATGTGGTCCCAAGCCTTCCAGGTGCTCCAAGTCTAATAATGAGACCCAGATTTGAATCTCTTGACTCTTCTTACATTGAACAAGTTGTTTTTACTTCAGAACCTCAGTTTCTCACCAATAAAATGGGAGTGCTAACATGCTAACATTTCAAGGACAGTTAGAATTGGTCTTACTTTTCCCTTCTACCCCCTTCTCCCCTTAGACTCACAGAATTGGCATTTTGCCAGAGGATATGATCTCAGGTTTTGATCAACAAAGACAGTAGAAAATATCATTTCATTCCAATGATAAAGTACTTCTAAAGAGTAAATCCATTTGCCTGATTTTTCCTTCAGTCTTTTAATGGGGGTCTTTTGGCGGATGGATTGATTAATCAGTGGTGGCAAATAAACACTGAACCTGAAAACCATTCTCTACCTGTCCCCACTCCACATGCCCCCAGACCAGTCCAGATCAAGCCCCAGCTGCCGTCACACCTGTGGTCCCCTGAGAAGCTGTATGTGCCTTTTTACACCCTGGGGGTTCACACCCGCTTCCAGGCCCACATGCCTGGCTTTGGAGTTGGTAGATGACCCAAAATCCAGCAGCTGCCTCTTGTGAGCACCAGCAGTAGAAATGGTTTTTTCTCAGGGGCTGATGTGGATGAGGTCATTCCAGAGCAAGTGGAAGTGGCTGTGAGGTGTGTGCATACGCTTGTGTGCATGTGAGCAAGCACGTGGGTGTGTGGACAGCCCAGCAGAGAGGGGTTCCTCAAACTATGCAGCCTTTTGCAGACACTGTGATGCTGTGATGAGAATTTGTCTAGAACAGTGACAAACGAGACAGGTATCCTCAAGAGCCAGAACAGCTGCCAGGTATGCCCTGAGGGCTCTGTAATAGGAACATGCTTAGGCAGCAAGAAGGGAAGCCCATGCCACACAGCAAACAACAAACCTTAGTACTTACAGTATAACACTCACAAGACCATATACCACCCCTCCTGTCTCCCTGGTCACCAACGTGCTGGCCAAAAGTGTTATCTCTGCTCACTGTTACACACAGAAGCTTCTTTATGTGTCTGCGCAGCCCTCTGTGTTAGGACCTTACGCTGTATGGGATTACTTGCATCACTGTCTCAGTTCTTCACTCCAACCTGCATCCGTGCACTCAGCCTTGGCCCTGGGTGGACTCCTGCGACTGGGAAATGAGGGAGAAATCATGGCATGCCACTTATAAGCCCAAAACATCAAAGACCCATCTGCTTCAGTTTGCTCTTACTAGGACCTCACCAAACCTTGAAAAGGGCATCTGTGGGTGAGTTTGATGGTTCTTAGAGAGAAGTACCCAACCCAGGACCCACAGGTTCTGAGCAAACCCAGCAAGGCCCTGCCCAGGACAGCTGGCCACATGTATGTAAGCTAAGAATACACCATTGTTATAGTCTCGGGGAAGCTTGTTATACAGCAACAACCAACCAGAAGTTACACTAACGGGCTTGTTCTGTCCCTACCTCTGGAAGGTTGATCCTGACTTCTGTCTTTTGCAGCTGTGAGTTCAGCTTCTTGAATGGAGTTTACAACCTGGGAGGCGATCAGCAAGCTTGCTGAGAGGGAGGATGAATGGTTTCTGTGCTGAAAACCCTCAGCCTCAGCTCTCTGCAAGGCAAGGTCTTCTCAGCATGCTCTCAATCTAGGACCAGACACAGCACAAAGCAGCTGCAGAGGCTAGAGTGAGTGTGTCGCCGCTTAGAGAGCATTCGCGGAGGACACTTAGGGCATGACATTCTTCTGAATTTCCCCAGTGTCGGAAGAGCATGCACACCCAGAAGTAAGACAGAAAACACTCCTTTCTCTTTTCAGCTTCTGTCCTAATATCATGACCTCTGTGAAGATGTTTAACACAACCAGGACTTCCATACCAGCAGTGAAGATGAAGCCAGCAGTGAGTTTAAGGCCATTTCTGTTAAACTGGCCTGTCTTGAGGACTTTAGTTCCTCCTTCAGCTGCAAAACTGGACATTCAGACACCGATTTTATCTGTGAATGAGAAGCTGTTAAAACCCCCCTCTAGGTGTCTCTCTTACCCAAAATTAGTGGCAGGGGTTATTTCCACACAGAGAACCAGCAGAGCATGATTTGGCAGAGCAGGGGTTTTCATAGTGTGGTCCCCAGGGTGCATCATTAGTATTATCTGGGAAAGGCAAATTCTCAGGTCTCCCCCCACCCCATTGATTGGAAACTCCAACGTGGGCTCCAGCATTCTGTGTTTTACAAGCCCTCAGAAAGCATCCTTTAAAAACTACACTCTAGAGAATTCTCCACAACTCACAATGTCTCACTCATCCATTCACTAGGAAATGTTCACAAACTGCCTATTGTACATCAGCCACTGAGCTAAGCAACAGGAAGAGAAATAATAAGATATGCTTTGTGCATGTAAGAAAATATGGCTCAGAGAAATACTAAATCCTATTATGAGGCACTACAGGAGGTGCTGAGGGAACTCAAGGTAGC